GATCTGGGGCAAGGCTGCTGAGATCCAAATTCATCCAACGAATGAAGCAGTGGAGAAGCTTCATTCCTCTATGTCACAGTCTCCTCACATGTACCATGCAAATGTTGAAAGAAGAAAAACAAACCTCTCTCCATGAGTTCCTATGGCACAGATTAAGTAATCAGTTGTTAACAGCTGTTTCTATTCATTTTTTTCCAGTACTGGAAATCAAACTTGGGGCTCAGACAAGCTAGTCAATGCCCTATGCTGAGCTCTATCCCACCTCTTTTATTTATTTAATTTTTGAGACAGGTTCTTGCTAAACTGGCCAGATTAAGATCAAACTCATGATCCTCTCGCCTCAGCCTACTGAGTAACAGGTATTATAGGTGTGTGTCACTGTGCTAGGCTTCTATTTATGAAAAACCACAAGGAGAAAGAGAAATAAGAAACAGAGAGTCCTAAATACTTTCCACTTCCTTGTTGAGATACAGTTATATCTTACCCTTAGGTTCTATGAAACTTTCCTGTATTCTTATATGATAGTTCCTTTTTCTATTTAAGTTAATTCAAGTTACTTTCAGTTACCCACAACCTGAGAAGCTTAACTAATACAGATGAAGAAGCTCCTAAAATAGCTGCTGAAAATAGTTCTAAGAAATTAACAAGAGCTGACTAAAACTGAGCCTGGTGGCACTCACCTGTAATTTCAGTACTCTGGGAAGCTCAGGCAGGAGGAGGATCATAAGTTGAAGCCCAGCAGGGGAAATTCAGCGATTTAGCAAGACCCTGTCTTAAATTCTTTTTTAAAAAATTTTTTTAAAGAGCTAGGGATGGAGCTCAATGTGAAGGCCCTGCATTCAAGCCCCAGTATAGAAGAAGATGGGGGAAGGGGGAGGAGATTATGACATAATACCAGCATTTGGGGGTCACCATGGTTGGTGGCAGATTCCACAGCTTGCTTGGTAGACTGTCTTGGAATTCCCCATTAGGATACTGATGACTGTACACAAAAATATATGAATTTACACTGTGTTATGGCCTGTATCTAGATGTTTCCCCCAAAGCCTCATGCAGCCCTAGGTGAGGCTTTTCAGAGGTGGCTGGGTCTAAAGTGTATGATCCTGGGATCAAGGATCCAATGCTAGGAATAAGAGAGTAAGTGCTGCCTGCCTAAGGGTGGGTAGCTTAGATAAAACATAAGGGACATAAAGAGAGTCATTTCTTGTTGCTTATTGCTTCCTGCTTGCTGCCTTGTGCCTGCCTGCTCTGCGCTGCCCCTCTGCCATGCCACTCTGCTTTGGAGCTAGCCAACTATGAACTCAAACCTCTATGAATTGTGAGCTAAATAAATGTTTCCTCCTTTAAGTTTTGGTGTTGAGTATTTTGTCTCAGCAATGAGGAAGAATAACTAAGAGAACTATCACTGAACATAAGAGTAGAAGGGAAGCCACATACCAAAATGTGGGGAAATTTCCAGTGAGTTCAGGTTGGATGAAGCTAAGTTGAAAATTACCCTTGTGTATCTTCTCTATCTCTGTGCTCTGAACCAGTGCTTCAATGGGTGGCTGGAAGGAAAGTAGAGAGACCTTGGCTCATCTCTATTAGGAGTTCCTATTAATAACCTGAGTAACTCTGAGCAGGCCAACTTATAATTCATGCATGAAAGTATCAAGATGTTCTCAAATAAGCAGGGGCTCGCAATATACATCATCATCTACCTTTCTGAAAACATCATCGGAAAAGAAGGAAAGGTATGCAATAAATATAGAAACCATATGAATATACACCTGATTTTTTCTGATCTGGTTTCAAAATTTATTAAGGCCAAAAACAAAAAAACCTCCTTAAAAACAGCTGTCTGAGGAAATACTTAACCCACATTATAACAAACCAACTCACCAGTGAGAGTGTGGGGAAAGGGCATCTTTATTAAACACAAATGTTCTTAACTGTAATAATTAAGAGAACTTGATTTAAGCATATGGCTCATAAAGCTAAACTTCAAAAAGAGTTAAAATAGATTGTCTATTTCAAATCACTTTAGATGAAAGCAAATAAAGTACTGTGTATACCCCAGATGACAAGAGCTGTTAACAAAGAAAATAACAAGTGTAGCAAATAGAAAGCGTACATCAAGAACATCAATAAGATATTTAGTAGTTAGTTCAAACTGCTTCATGACAAAATGCCAAACAGAAGTAAAGCACCAAACACATATGAACTCACGGTATAAAAGAATCTGAAAGGAAAATATTTAAGTTAGTTGTACTGCTTGGATGTACCTTTTTTCTGTTTCTTTGTCCTTTTCTGGGTTTTGCAATTTGTCTACAATGAAAATGTATTGTTGTATAAGTCAGGGCTCATTATTGTAAGCAACAAAACTGACTCTGGCTATCTTAAATTTAAAAGGAAAAAAAAAAAAGCCAGGCATGGTGGCACATGCCTGTAATCACAGCATTCCACTCAGGAGGCTGAGGCAGGAGGATTGCCATGAGTTCGAGGTCATCCTCAGCTACATATCAAGTTCAAGGCCAGCCTGGACTATATAGCAAGATCCTATCTCAAAAAATCAGAAGGAAGGAAGAAAGGAAGGAAGGAAGGAAGGAAGGAAGGAAGGAAAAGAAAAAGAAAAAGAAAAAGAAAAAGAAAAAGAAAAAGAAAAAGAAAAAGAAAAAGAAAAAGAAAGAAAAAGAAAAAGAAAAAGAAAAAGAAAAAGAAAGAAAGAAAGAAAGAAAGAAAGAAAGAAAGGTAGGTTATTTGGGAGGTTGTTGGGGTTTTATGGAATCAAGGACAGACCTCAGGACTTGCCCAGACTGCACCATCCAGAGAAGCTTGTTTATGGTTCTTATGTCCTGATCTTATTTACAACAGAGACAGATTGATCCTTACAGTGTGACTCAAAATGCCCTCAAAAGTATCCGCTGCCACCTCTTTAGCTACTGAATCTACTAGGAACAAGTCTCTCTTAGTCTATGCATTCCTCTGCCCACTTTCAAGACCCAGGGAGAGCATCTGTGTCAGTGCTCTCCAGAGAAGCACAGCTAGCCAGACTGCTGCACAGAGCAGGCCTGTGAGCCACAGGAGGGTAGTTGCGCTGCCTGAGTTTGAGGCTGTCTGTTGGCAGAGTTCCGGTGGAGGGCAATCTGCTTACTCCAAGTTTACTGACTGCAACATTAATCTCACCAGGCATGGCGGTCACACCTGTACTCTCAGTACTCTGGGAGGCTCTGGCAGGAGGATCACAAATTCAAGTTCCACCAGGACAATTTAGAGACTTAGTGAGACCTTGTCTCAGTTTTCTTTTTTAAAGTGTGTAAGCGGGGTGTAACGCACTGTGAAGGCCCTGAGTTCAAAGTATCAATAAACAAACAAACAAATAAGTGTTAATCTCCTCTAAAAAAGTATCTCCACAACATTAAACTAGCATTTGACAAATCAAACAACTACAAAAAAAAAAAAAACAGAATTTGGCCAAATATCTGAGCTCCATGGCCTAGCCAGGTTAACACATAAAATTCACCATTGCAGCATCCAACTGCTTGACCTACAGCATGTGCAGGAGTGTGGGGGAGAAGGGATCCCACACACAATTCCCTCTCATAGTAAGAAGTGGGCTCCAGGCCCTACCATTACCCTACACAGGGTGACGCCCCAGATACAGGAAGCAGCCAGATGCTGCACAGCCTTTAAAAAAGATAAATATTAACCAGATATCAGTCCTCTGTCTGAGGAATAGCTGGCAAAAATTTTTTCTCATTCTGTAGGTTGTCTCTTCACTCTGTTGACTGTTTCCTTTGATGTGCAGCAGCTTTTAATTTGATATGATCACACTTGTTGATTCACAGTATTATTTTTTGTGTCATTGGGGTTCTATTCAGAAAGCCCTTGTGTAAGTCTATGTCTTCAAGAGCTTTCCCTGTTCTATCTCCTAACAGATTACGTAGGGATATTCAGTTTTCCCAGCACTATTTATTCAAGGGGCTATCTTTCCTCTACTGTATGTGTTGGGTCCCTTAGTCGAAAACCAAATAATTGAATGTGCCTGGGACTGTTTCTGCTTCCTCTATTCAGTTTCTCATATATATATATATATAAAATTTCACCTTTCCATGAGGAGGCTAAGGGGCAACTTTTGGTCATCCTGAATGCAAGTTCAGACAAGACTGGGCACGTTCAGGGTGATATGGATGCAGACACCAAAAGCTAGTTCATTCCACACTAGCCACCTCCACCGTGCTGCCCAAGTCTGACCCCAGTGAGAATGCAGTCCCTTTCAAATGGGAAGGGGAACAAGAGATGGGGGCGGAGGGAAGAAAGGCAAAGGGGATTTTTAGAAAGAGAATCGAAGAAAAACATGGAAATAGAGATTTTTCAAATGGGCAGGGAAATAAGAGTTGGAGGAAGCAGGGAGGGTTGGGAGAGGAAAGGGACCAAAAAAAAAAAAAAATTAAAATGTATTATGTACATGTGCAAGCTCCCCAGTATAAATGTAGGCATTCTGTACTGCAAACATGTACCAATAAAAAAATAAAACTAGAAATCAAAAGATAAATATTTGGGATGGTTACATTTATTGATAACACTTTTTCCTTATAAAGGAATTGTAAGTGAACAGGAAGCCCTTGCTGGATTTAGAGACCATGAGTCATGTCAGCATGGTTTTGTGACTTCATCCAAAACCTTCTCCCACCAGTGCTTTTCCACTTCCAGCCTTTTCCATGTTGGGCAACTGCCTTTCAAGCCACTCAGTCATCCAAGCCTGGAACCTGGCCTTCCCCCATGCTCCTCTCTCTGTTCACTGCCCATATCCAGCAGCCACCCACATGACCATCGCAGTCCCCCATCCTCTCCATCCCTGCAGCCACAGTCTTGAGCCAGGCTCACATCCACTCTTGTCTGACTCTAATCTGAACCTCGCAGGTGCTCTTCCCTCCTGTTTCCTTCTGTACCATCACTACCCTTCCAGCGTGGACTTTCTGCAAACCAGTGAACACTATAGCTCTGGTCTTGGCACATACCTGCTTCTGTGAGGGTTCCCAAAGAGTGGAGACTGTCTGCTTGGCTTGGCTAAATGAAGGGGACTCATCACAACTGTCAAATGCTTTGTGACCGACAGAGCTCTGTAGCATATCTCATCACAAAGGACACAGAACACGTGGCACCAAAAGAAAGTTGAAAACTATACAACTTTAAAATAAATCACTAAAAAAAAAATAAAAA